CCTCTCTGTGTTCCTCTGTCTTTCAAATAGATAAATAAATATTATTAAAATATGTAAAACTGAATATTTGCCTTTATTGTTTTTATTTTGGTGAAATGCATATACTTTGCCTGCAACATTGTAACCCTTCTTAAAATTTTTCCTTTGTATCTTAATGAATAGTCACATTTTTTTTTTTTTGAGGTGACAGGTTGCTGCTAAGATGACCCTGCAGGCAGAATATTTATAGGAATAGTAAAGCCTCGTGCCTACATGATATTAGGAAACTCAGATTGGCATCAGGTGTCTAGAATTAAAAATATAAACGTTAAAGTCTGTGGGACTTTGGAGAGTGATCTTCTGTGTGTGCCTGGCTGATGAAAAGTGGGAAGGGCAAAAATCAGTTGAGAGAGATCATTTAGTATGCTGAAATTATTAAAAAAAAAGAAAATATATTCTGAGACTGAAACTCACAGTGGGCTTTGCTTTTGATTTAGCGGTGGCACAGGTGGGCAGACAGGGAGAAAAGGTTGCTGTCATCTTCCTATTATATTTTAATGAGTTCCTTTCTTCTTTCTATTTCTTGGTAGCAAATCTGTGACATTTTTGACATTATTAAACTTTAATTAGCATGTGGCATTTAACATATGCTTTTACCAAATACATGATAAGAGGAAAGCAATAGAAAGCAAGGCAAAAAGAAAATGATGAGTCCTGTTCTCTGTGGGAATAAAAACCCAGGACTGGAGTGGTATTTACAAATGTATGTAGGGAACCAACCTTAGGGGCAGTCTGGTTTGCTGAGCATATGCTGACATGCGAGCAAGGTGCCAGTCCCTTGGAGTGGCATCTCTGAGCCTCACTGCTTCCAAGGAGGCTTAGTCTGTCTTACCTGATTCACTTGTCTCGACACCTTTCAGCCTTCAGAGGTTATCACGGCCTGTTTACACCTTAGAAGTGATTTTCGTGGGTGTATAGGGGGGTGAGGAGCTAGGTCCCAGAAATCCTAAGTGCTTGGACAAAAGTCAAGGTGAGGGGCCGGCACTGTGGTGCAGTGGGTTAAAGCCCTGGCCTGAAGTGCTGGCATCCCATATGGGCGCCGGTTCTAGTCCTGGCTGCTTTTCGTCCAATCCAGCTCTCTGCCATGGCCTGGGAAAGCAGTAGAAGATGGCCCAAGTCCTTGGGCCCCTGCACCCGCGTGGGAGACCCGGAAGAAGCTCCTGACTCCTGGCTTCGCATCCGCACAGCTCCGGCCCTTGCGGCCATCTGGGGAGTGAACCAGTGGATGGAAGACCTCTCTCTGTGTCTCTACCTCTCTCTGTAACTCTTTCAAATAAATAAAACAAATCTTAAAAAAAAAAATGGAAGTTTCTATTTAAAAAAAAAAAAAAAAGAAAGCAAGCTAAGGTTAAATGAGTGAATCCCTTTCCCCCATTAAGACTCACTTATTTTTTTCTCCAAGTCTTTTTTTTTTTTTGGTCTTTGGAAGAGTAAACATAAAGGATTGTTTATCAGAAGGCAGTCTCCTGAGCAACCACAGTAGAATCACCTAGTCATGCCACTAAAAACACAAGATTTGGGGGTTCTAAATCAATCTGCTGACTCAGATCTTCTAAGGATAGGGTTGGGTAATCTATGTAAGAAACTTTCCAATACAAAGTTTGAGAACCACTGGCACTTTCCAGTGCTTACTTTCAAATATATTGTGTCAAATTGAAGATGGTCTAATTCTGACGAAATTCTGGATCAATGAGAATGAATGAATTCAGAGATAAAACTACACAAAAAATCTTTCATGTATTTTTGTGGCTAGGTTGCTAATGCTTTCTTGATTGTGGTCAGAATTAAATGTCCCAATTACCAAAGTCCGAGAGGGTTTCTGCAGATACTGATTGTTGAAGGATGATTTTGAAAGCGTGCATTTATTTTTATCATCAGGAAAAAAAGACTTAAACATTTTAACATTTTGTAAAACATGTCAAGCAGTTTTCATGGTTTTGCACGCTAAGCAAACCATCTGAAATCTGCCTTCACTGTTATAGAAAATGAAGCCCCTGGGAAAAATAAATGCTTGGTCAGAAATGCTAACAAGTTCCAGGTTTCCTTCGGCATATAGTTAAACAAATGGTTCCATATTGTCAAGGAGGCTAAGATAAAAAGTCAGATAAGATGAGGTTTACTTTATTACTTTGTGTGTTCACTTCTAACTTATATTTTGACTCATTTTTACTGATTCATCACTTCAATTTATTGATTTCAGAATGTGACCAAGTTCTGTTTATGAAGGAAAGGTTTATAAATGTAGAAGTGAAGTTTAAGCTTTGCTTGCATGAGAGGTCACCTGTTTACCATGTGGTCAAGTGGAAATGTAAGCTAGGCAAGGAAACCACCCATGTGATTTTAAGCCTAGAAGGAGAGAGCTAAAGAGCATTTTTGGTATGAGTATGTGGAAAGTGTTCAGGAAAATTAAAACTAAAATTAAGAATTGAACAATAATAGAATGAAAATGGGCATTCAAATTTAGAAAGTTCAAAATCATTTTCTGTCCTCAGTTAAACATAAGTTTAGATAATAGTTCAAAGAATTAAATCACTTTCCTAATAAAAATGCAAGCTACATACAGTACTTTCTTATTCATTTTTATTTCATTCAGCTGATGCTGAGTTGGGGCTGTTGTGCTGTGGCATCATAGATAGGCATGCTGCTATGTGAGCTGGTTGCACAAGAAATAAAGATGATGCTGAAGCTCATGTGATGAGCAAGATGTAGTGGTTCAATTGGAAAATATTATTAAAATGAGAAAATGTACAAAGGTTGCCTTCCTACTTAACTACTGTTTGCATTTGGAGATATGCTGCTTGTTTTTTTCTTTATTGCGAAAGCACAGATATTATAAATGTGCATAGATGTGCAAATACTTTTAAGTATATATGTATACACTCAGATATATCAAATATGCTACTTAGTAAATTTTTCACCAAATAATATTTTATAAACATCTAATGTATTCACACATACACAAACACACATATTCCCCATCATCTTCCATTTATGATTGCATTTTTGTCATAGTATTCAATAATTTGAATCTACCATAATATAATGATTCCTTTATTGGTGAACAGTTAGATTATTGTCAGTTTTTCTACTTTTGTAATCAATACAGTGAAAATGTATGAACATTTTTTAGGATAAATTTCTGAAAGTAGAATTGCTGGGTTAAATGGAATATCCTTTTAAAAACTTGATCTATGGGGCTGGTGTTGTGGCACAGCAGGTAAAGTGGCTGCCTGTGAATACAGCATTCCTTAAAGGGCACAGGTTTGAGTCCCAGCTGCTCTACTTCTGATCCAGCTCCCTGATAATGGCCTGGGAAAGCAGTGAAACATGGCCCAAGTGCTTGGGCCCTTGCCACCCACTGGGAGACCTGGAAGAGGCTCCTGGCTTCTGGCTTCAGTCTGGCCCAGCCCTAGCCACTTCAGCCATTTGGGGAGTAAACCAGCAGATAGAAGATTCTCTCTCTCTCTCTCTTTCTCTCTGTGGATGTGCCTCTCAAATCAATAAAAATAAATCCTTAAAAAAACTTGAGCTGTATTGTCAAGTTTTGTTTATATTCTTCAATGTCTTGAAGGTGATAATTTTGGAACACCATGGCCAATCCTAAATTTGGTTAATCTCTTAAATGTTTGTGAATAAGGCATGTCAAAAATATGATTCTTACCTTAGTTTTCATTTGTTTGATGCCTTAGAGATTCCTCTGAGATTCTTTCTATATGCCCTGAGGAGTTGATGGGCTTTGCAGTACTCTGACTTGGCAGGTGGTAGAGTGAAGTCCTTCAGGAAGACAAGGGAAGGAATGACCTCGCCTCCTCACTGGGCAGTTAATGGGCAAGGTACTGGGGACAGAAACCAAATTTGCTGGATGGCAAGTCCTTTCGCATTTTCCTTTTAAATGTTCTGTTTCAAATTTCAGTATAATTAAATCTTGCATTTTCTTTCCTTGCATATATAATTGTTTATTTAGCTATTGATCAAAACTTGATAACCATCAAAACAGTCTGAATCTTTGGCATTCTAATCCATTTACTTGCCTGCCATAGAGCTATGGAGAACCCTAATCCGAACCCAGAAATTATTTATTTATTTTTTAAAGATTTATTTATTTGAAAGGCAGAGTTACAGAGAGAGAAGGAGAGACAGAAAAAGAGGTAATTCATCCGCTGGTTCACTCCCTAAGTGAATTAATGCAATGGTCAGTCTGGGCCAGGCTGAAGCCAGGAGCCAGGAACTTCTTCTGGGTATCCCACGTGGGTGCGGGGGTTCAAGGACTTGTACGAACCCCCACTGTTTCCCCAGGTTCATTAACAGGGAGCTGGATCAGAAGTGAACCAGCACCCATATGGGATGCTGGTGCTGCAGGCAATGGCTTAACCAGATACACCACAATGCCAACTCTGAACCCAAAAATTTAAAATCTGGCTTCCTAAAAGTGGGAGTGGGGAAGAAAGCATGGGACATTCTTTCATTTCTTTTAGTGAGTCCTCTCTGAAAATAGATTTTGATAAGGAAATACATGTGTGAATGTACTCATATGTATGTATGTACCCATCTATCTCTTTCTTAGTTCTAAGGGATTCGCTTCAGAATTTCTGATTCTTGTTTCATTAGAAATATAATTTTCTTTAGCTTTTGTTCTTTTGCATCTTGCAAGACTTGGAAGTTTAGAGAACACCTGACACTAATTATTTACCCCACAACTTTGAGATCATGGAGGGTATGTTTAATTCATGTAACCTTGATGTTTTTTGGCCTAGCTTCAACATTATGAAGGAAATATAATTCCCAGGTAGGAACAGGAATGCGTGAGGGTTTCCTGTGTTGCCACAAAACTGTTTAAAAGAACTATTGAGGTTGTTTAAACTTCAGTTACTTGTAAAAAAAACTCAATAAATTCCTATCGACACCCAATCATCTCATTAACCTAATGTTACTTTCATAATATCCTTTCTTGTTTCATGCAGGCATTCTTGCACCGAATGAACCAGTGTGCAGCATCGAAAGTTGACAAAAATGTCACAGAGGAAACAGTGAAGGTGAGACGACACTATTGGCTCTTGACACATGAACCAGTTCCCCTTAGATAAAATTTTATCTGTGGGATGTTACTTCAGCACTCTGCAGTTTATCTTCAGTTCCACTAGAAGTTCCTGTGCCGGTCACTTGTGTCAGTAATAATTTGAAAAAGGAAAAATAGAATCTGGGAAAAGATACAAGGATTACCAAGATGGCATAACAGCCTGAAAGTTGCTTTAACAAGTGATTTAGAGCATTTGAAAGGAAGCAGAAAAACAAACCAGAGTCTAAGTACTTTAGTGTCTTTAGAGGGGGAGGGGCAGAGCAGGGTGTCCCACTTGCTAGCTGTGGCTCTGGAAGGCAGGATGTGGGCAGATGTGACTTCTAGTCCCTGGAATGACTACAGAACAAAAGGTTTGGAAGATTGACTGATGGAGAAAATAAAGTCCACATAGTATCTTCAACTCAGAAACAAACTGGCATTTCTTTTAAGCTGTAAGGCAAGAAAATTGTGAAGATTTAAAAAAAAACCAAACGAATGGTAGTTGAAGATTAATTATTTTGTAATGATTATTCATTTAAGTTGTATAATTCATGAGTAATATTAATGATGCTAACCTACCGGCTTATTTTACAATTTTTTTTAGGTTCTTCTGCCATTTCCCCATAAGTTTTAAACTTTCCTACTATGGGAATAGTTTAGTTAGTATGCTTCTGGTTGCAAGCAAAAAGAAACTTATGACTCAAATGAATTTAAGGACATTTTCACTCATATTTTGGGGACTTCAGACACAAGAGGAGGGTCAGGACTGGGTGACTGAGAGGCTGCAGGGTTGCTACCTCTTTGCCAGCTATCACTTCTGCCATCAGCTTATCAGCTTTGCCCCTGAGCTGGCACCTCCTTGGGCTGCAAAATGACTCTGCAGCTGTCCCAGCTGTTAATGGAGGACACACAACACCTCCCGGAAGGAGAAAAAGGCTGTTTGTTGTAGGCTCCTTTCTTAGTTTAGGAGTAAAGATACCCGTCCCCTGAAACAGCCTGCCAATGAATCTGCCCCTGTGTTACCTTCTCACTCTTGAGAATGGGGTGGAAATGCCATTCTTGGCTTGGGCCACTCATGTGTTGCCCTGAGAGCCTGCTATAGGGTCCAGTTTCCAGAGTTGAACAGGAGTGGAGGAAAAGTTCAGCCCAGGGTGAAATTGATGTGAGTTAGCTATCCACGGATGTTTTCAGCTTGGAAAGAGGACATACTATACTAATGCTATACTTTCCTAGACTTCCTTGTTTTTCAAACTTGTTTGACTATTGTACTCACTTATACCTGTATTTTTTTTTAACAGATGTTGTTCTCAAACATTGAAGAAATCCTTGCGGTGCACAGAGAATTCTTAAAAGTTGTGGAAGAATGCTTACATCCTGAACCTAATGCTCAACAAGAAGTGGGAACCTGCTTTCTTCACTTTGTAGGATACATTTCTTTTTAATTTAAAAGCTCTTCCCTCTCGCCCTGCCCCACCCCAGAGTTTATGGTTTGGCTTTTGATGAAGTAATATGTGTGAATTCAGCATGGGAGGTAGAATCTTACTCCAACAATTAGGGGTCTTTTAAGGCAAATGAAATTTTCCACTTAAAACCAGAAAAGAGGAGGGTGCCACCCATCACCCATTTTACAGGGTGAAGAATAAACAGCCTTTTCTTTTTCTTGACAAGTTAGTTCTTCGCATCAACTGTAGCTTTGAATTCTAATGAATATTCAGGCTGCTCATAATGAATGGATTTTTATGTTTCTCTCAAACACAGGGAATTTTTCTTTTGAGGCAGAAAATCCTCACTCTTATAGTGGCGCGATGAGCCTTTTCTTAGAATGTTTGCTTGTTCATGGACTCAAGACAAGCCTAGAGGTGAACAAACCCAGGAGGCCTGTGCCTGAATTCTCCTCCAGGAGATTTCCCAGAAGGTTGTACTGAGCAGCACAGCAGGCATAATAAGCCCTTGCTCCTTTGTTTCAGATTACACATCCTGTGCCTGTGTATTGCTTTCATCTCTTTATCCGTGAGAGCTGAATTGATTTAAGACATCGATTTGCAAAGTAAAAAGCCACCTGCTTAGTGAGATTTATTCTCAGAACTAAGGACATTGCCATTTTTAAAAAGGATGCTGCCAGTTATACCATTTCATTGATGCTAATTTTCAGATTACACATTTGAATCCATATCCATATAGTTATCAGAATGCTACTCAGTGTTTTATTTAAAATTATATGAGTGTCATGGAAATAAAAATTTCTGTTTTGTTATGTTTTAGTCTTTTATTTAGGTTTTTAAGTGTTTTCTGGATTTTTTTTTTTTTTTTTGACAGGCAGAGTGGACAGTGAGAGAGAGAGAGACAGAGAGAAAGGTCTTCCTTTTGCCGTTGGTTCACCCTCCAATGGCCGCTGCTGCCAGTGTGCTGCGTCCAGCGCACCGCGCTGATCTGTAGCCAGGAGCTAGGTGCTTATCCTGGTCTCCCTTGTGGGTGGAGGGCCCAAGCACCTGGGCCATCCTCCACTGCACTCCCGGGCCATAGCAGAGAGCTGGACAGGAAGAGGGGCAACCGGGACAGAATCCGGCGCCCGGACTGGGACTAGAACCCAGGGTGCCAGTGCCGCAGGTGGAGGATTAGCCTATTGAGCCGCAGCGCCGGCCAGATCTTTCTTTCTCTATCTAATGAGCAGGCTCTGTATGTGTTCGTTTTATAACCAGAAAATGTTTCATAAAGGAAGTATATTAAAGGGAGAGTCTCCTTGCACCCTTATTGAGTGAAGGGAGATCAAGCTGTAGTTTGCTTGTACACACCTGGAAGCCGTGGTTCTTTATGTCCACTTACTCGAGCCTGTTCCCTTTCGCTAAAGAATCAGAATCATCTGCCAGCTGGAGTAGCTGCTATCTCAGTCCAGGGCTGCACATGGGAAACTTGCACCCTGACATCCATTTCCTTAGTAACACATTATTAATCTGTCATCCATGAATTTAGCTGAGCTATTTCTGAAGTTTATTTTTTTCCAGCTCATACCATCTCTTGAGGTGAGTAATCCAATACATTCTGTGCTGGCTGTATGAAATAACACTGAATGTTCCTAAATGAGTACTTTTGAAATTTCAACAGACACACGTCTGTTCTAATATTTGTTCAATAAATTTTTGTGTTTTTTTTTTTTTTGTTGCTAGTGCTTTGATAGCTATTAATCATAGAACTTTGAGAAAATAATACCATGGATGGGAACTTAGAGATCACCATAGCAAAATTTCTCTTTTTTAAAAGGAATCTCCTCTCCATCCATGAAGGACATTTATTTTGTTTCTACTTGGTCACTTTCAGTGACAGCTCTAATTGTTAGAAGATCTCTATTTTGATCCCAAATCTACCCACTACTGCCTTGCCAATTTCCACTGAATGGTCCTGGTTTTAAGTTTTGGAGCAACATAGAATAGTCAGTCTTTTAGAGTATGACAGCTGTGAGAGTATCTACTGTTCTCTAACTTTTCTGTACTATCGAGTATTTCTGAAATGACCTCTCAGTCATTATCTCAGTCCCTTGTTGCTGGATATTCTCTAGCTTGTCAATGTCTCTTAAACATAGCTTTCTAGATTGGAGTATATGAACTGCAAGGTGCTATGTTTCCTTGTTCCTATGTGATCTGCACATGCTTTTCTCCCTACTTGAGAAGACCTATTCCCCTCCCTGCCTAGGAGTCATGCATTCATTTCACTGGACCTTGCTCAGAAGTAACATAAAAAGATGTGTCTGAATTCTCATGGCAAGCTCAGTACCCTCTTTTCTATGTTTTCCACTGCTTGCTTCGCTTCTCTATTGCATTCATTATTTTGGAATACAATTGATGTATGAGTGTCTGTCTTCTTTTCTAGACTATTCTTGATGGATCTGGGAAATAAATATAAATAAAATGTATTCACATATTGTAAACAAAACACCCAATGCAGCTATTGAAATGTAGTAAACACTTAGTAAAATTTGCCTATGTGTATGACATTGGTTAAATTTTAAAATGATGATTGAAAGGTTCTTATTCATTCTTCCTTGGATTCACAGAAAGACAAATTTCGTATCTATGATGAATACTGTAGTAACCATGAAAAGGCACAGAAGTTGCTTCTTGAACTTAACAAAATAAGAACAATCCGGACGTTTCTTTTGGTAAGTATATGGTTAAGTGTTGTCATCAAATTAAGAATTCCATACTGATATTTGTTGACAGGTAAATAAGAGCCAAGGAATAGCATTAGAATGATGTAATAAGCTGTTTAAGTGATAACAATTTTTAGCATACTCAGAATAAGAAGATAAGAGTCCTTTAGTGTAAAAAGTGAGAGTTAGGATAAACCTCTAAATGGGGAAATATTGCTAATGCCCTCTTCTGGTTGACTATGAATTGTTTGTGAGAACATATGGGTTTCTAGTGAGAGAAGAACTTGTGCCAGACTTCTTCATTGTCTTGCATCCCCAACTCTCTAGGGTTTCATTTACTAGGAGAGCTGTAAGTAGGGCAGTAACAGGAAGGAAACAAATCATGGACATGGAAGAAAATAATTATTAAAGATTGACCTTTCTCCTGCACACATTCCTTAGCCAGTTTTCTTTAAAAAGGCAAGAATTAATACTTTAATTTCTTTAGATTCCCACAAATAAATGTGGTTTTGGCAGTTACTTGGTCAGTTTAACCATTGGTGAGGAGCAGATTGGAAGTGTGCAACTCAGTGATGTTTACCAATTGTTAATGTTAAGCGAATTCAGTCTTAGAACTTTCCCACCCTCTTAGAAAGTCTCTCGTGTTCCTTGATAGCCTGTTTCCTACCATTACCTCCAGGCAACTGTAAATTTCTTCATATCTATAGATTTTTGGGAGATTTTATAGAAATGGAATCATATAATGTACTTTTTTTTTTTTTACTGATTTTTTTACTTTGTCAACTGTTTTTGAGGTTTATCCTTTTATACCATGTACCTATTTTCCATTCATTTTTTATCACTGAATAATATTTCATTGTGGATATATTGTATTTTGTTTATCCATTCACCAGTTAATAAACTGAGCCCAGTTTTAGCTACTTTAAATAATGCTATAAAAATCCATATTCAAGTCTTGGTGTGGACATATATTTTCTTTCTCTTGGGTGGATACTAAGTACAATTGTGGGGGTGGCTCTGTGGCATAGTAGGCTAAGCTTCTGCCTGCGGTGCCAGCATCCCATAAGGGTGCTGGTTTGTGTCCTGGCTGTTCCTCTTCCAATTCAGCTTTCTGCTTATGGCCTGGGAAAGCAGTGGAAGGTGACTAAAGTGTTTGGGCTATTGCACTCGTGGGAGACTTGGAAGAAGCTCCTGGCTCCTGGCTTTGGATCTGCTCAGCTCCCGCCATTTCTACCATTTAGGGAGTGAACCAGCTGATGGAAGATAGTTCTTTCTGTTTCTCCCTCTCTGTCTGTAACTCAACCTCTCAAGTAAATAAATAAAATTGTTAAAAAAAAAAAAGAGTAGAATTGTTGGGTACTATGGCGTCTTTATGTTTAACTATTAAGAAACTGCCAAACAGTTGGCTAGTGCCTGAGTAAAGATTCCAGTTTCTCTGTATTTTTACTGACACTTGTTATTAGCAGTCTTTCTTCTAGCTGTGCTAGTGGGGTGTGTAGTGATATCTTAGAGTGATTTAAATCTGCCTTTTGATGATGACTAATGATATTAAGCATGCTTTTATGTGCTTATTCATCACTCATTATCTTCTTTGGTGAATGTGTTTTTAATTTTTCTGCCCAGTTTTAATTTGGAGTATTTATCTTATATTGAGCTACAAGTGTTCATAATTTGAATACTGGTCCTATAATAAATATTTACCTATAATTAGAAAATCTTTATTCCAGTGTACTTTATTTCTTTATTCATCTTTACTTTTTAAAGGTTATTTATTTATTTGAAAAGCAGATACAGAAAGAGAGGCAGATCCACACACACACACACACACACACACACACACACTGCTCCCATCCACTCCCATCCATTTCACTTTTCAGATGCCCACAATAGCCAGCAGCCAAAGTAAGGAAACAGGAGGTCAGTCTGGATCTTCTATGTGGGTGGCAGGAGCCCAGCTGCGGAGCTATCACTGCTGCCTCCCAGGGTCTGCATCAGCAGGAAGTTGCGCTCAGGAGCCAATGCCAGGCATTGAAACCAGGGCCAGTCCCATGTGGGGACATGGGTGTTCCAACTGTTGTCTTCACTAAACACCTGTCTTTTTTTTGTTTGTTTTTAAAATATTCTCTTGTGAAAAGTAAAAAGTTTTAAGTTTGGGAGCGGGCATTTGGCACAGCAAGTTAAGCTGCTTCTTGGGGCTTCTGCACTGTAATTTGGAGTGCCAGTTCAAGTCCTGACCAGTGTGCTTCCAGTCTAGCTTCCTGCTAATGCAGCAGAGGATGCTCAAGTGTTGGGGCCCCTGCCACTCATGCGGGAGATTTGGATGGAGCTCTGGGCTCCCAGCTTCAGCCTGGCTCAGTCTTGGGTGTTGTGGCATTTGGAGAGTAAACCAGCAGATGGAAGATTCTCTCTCTCTCTCTCTCTCTCTCTCTCTCTGTTTAAATAGATGAAAAATAATAAATACTCAAAAAATTTAAATTCTTATGAAATCCAGCTCACTGATTTTTTTCCATCAAAACCATACTTTTGTTGTAATATTTAATAAATCTTGTATTTCTTCCATTAGAACTATATTTTTCCTTTCTCCCTTACCTCCATCTATCTCTGTCTCTAGTTCTATCTCTATTTTTGTAAATGTTATTCATGACTGAATATAGTATGCTTTTCTTAGCAAAAGAAGGTATATAAAAATACACACACACGCACACATACTTTCACAAATTTTCAGCATAAAACTTAATGACAAAAGAAAGTTCCACAGCTTTCGGTTTAAAAACGTGTGTGTAACTGTGTTATTTTCTCCCCAGAACTGCATGCTGCTTGGAGGACGAAAGAACACAGATGTCCCCCTGGAAGGATATTTAGTGACACCCATCCAAAGGATATGCAAATACCCTCTGCTTTTGAAGGTATTTCATGTGCTACCGCATTGTAGCAATTCTCTTCTACCTGCATATTTTGCTGATGATTTAAAAAAATTATCTTTCAAAGATTATTCTGAAGACAAGGCAGATCATAATTATTAGAAAGAGTGGCTTTTGTGTTAGAAAATTTATAGTGGAGAAGGAAATAAATCATTAGTAAAAAATGCCCTTTGTAGAGAAAATGCTTGCTTGAGTTTCATATACATGAAATGTGTTGGTTTCAGGATAGATCCCATTAAGTCAATTATTGGTCTATTTTTTATTTCCTCAAGCTTTGGTGATTTCATGATGCTAATGAATTTGAGGTCAAAATTATGAGCCTGGTTTTGAAACTATTATAGGAACTGGTGTGGGTCATATGGGACAGTAAATGACAGAATGTGGAATGAGGCTGCTAACAAAACACCTCCTTTGGAAGATAGCAAAGTCTCCGATAATGGCTGTAGGTCTGCAGCCCCATTACATAAACACATTTTTTATGAGAAAGGTACTATATAATACGCTGACTACAGCCCTTTCTGTGGGGGATTATAAAAATCCAAATAGCAATTTTTGAGACTCTCCTTGTTGGACCTCTAGCATCAAGATGAACAGTTTGTGGTAGTAATTGAGTATATGAATGCTTTGTATAATTCCCAAGGGTTCTTCTTACTAGCTGTGTGACTGACCTATACAATCTAATTCCTTAAAGCCTTGGCTTTTCATTTATGAAACAGAAATGATGTTGAGGTTGATGATGATGACGGAGAAAAATTATAGCCTGTGCATGTGTATCTGCATGGAAACACAGATGAGGGTACTTCAAAGAGTTTGTGGGAAAATTGAATGAAAAATTGTTTTTGGTCTAAAAAATTTGAAATCCATATGTATATAAAGTCTTCAAATGCTATAGACAATTATGAAAAGCTATGCATGGATTAAAAAAAAAGTCTTGTTATTTATTTGAATGGCAAAACAAAAGAGATGGAGAGAGATCTTCCATCATTTGGTTTTACTCCCCAAATGCCCACCACAGCCAAGGCTGGGCCAGGATGGAGCCAGGAGTCAGGAACTTCATTCAGATCTCTCACAACGGTGCCGGGGACCTAAGTAATGGAGCCATCAGCTGCTGCTTCCCAGGGTGCACACTAGTGGGAAGCTGGATTGAAACAGGTGGAACTCAAGTCCAAGCACTCTGACATGGGGTTCAGGTGTCCCAAGCAGTGACTTAAGCCACTGTGACATAATTTCACTCCACAAATTTTTTTACCAAAATAAATTTATCTTTTAATTCTATTTTTCCACAAAATTCCTGAAGTATTATATATATATGCATATATATTATACAATAATGGTAACTATTTTATATAATTAAAACAATTTTTAAATTATTATATTCTTAGAATTGTATCATTGAAATACATGAAATTTGTTCTTTTTACATTAATAAAAATTTTAGAAATTTGATTTCAAAAATTATTTTATTACTCTATTTTTATTTATTTGAGAGGCAGACAGACATAGGGAGAGAGAGAGAGAGAGAGAGAGAGGCAGTCCAAAAGAGAGCTTCCATCTCTTGTTCCTCATCCCAGTTCCTGGGTGGATAGAGTTGGAGAACCTGGAACTCAATCCAGATCTCCCACATGGGTTGCAGGGACTCAATCACTTGAGCTATCACCATTGCCTCCTAGGTTGTGCGTTAGTTAAGAAGCTAGACTTGGGAGCAGGGCCAGGACTCAAACCAGGTACACTAATCCTGGTATGTAGATATCTTAACATGGTGGCTTATTCTCTAGTCTAAACACCTACCCCCGTTTAAACCATTCAGCACAGTATATCCTGCATAGGTGTTAGCCATTATTATTCATATAATGAGTATGCCTATTTGTACTTAGCAAAAAGGAGGTCAGTTCAGAGCCCCTTCTAGTAGTACAGAAGTGACAGTCTCCCTTTTTTGCAAAGGGAAAGAACCATGAAAAAACTATTGACTCACAGATATATAGTGATTGTCTTGTTCTCCCATCAACTGAAAAATTGTGCTGGGATTCTCTTTGATTTTAGGCATTTTTATTTATTCACAGAAAATATTAAAGGGATTGAACTAAAGTGTTAAAGTTATACTGGTCTTAGTTGTGCAAATTGAGATTATTGAGTTTACCATTCAGCACAGGATTCATAGCAAGTAACTGCCTGAAGATTATTGCTAGTCATTATGGCTATTACATAATGTATTACCTTTAAATATTACATAAATTCATGTCCCAACTCAACAGGTACCCATGGGCACAATCCCATAGGGCCCCACATCAGGGCCTGCAGGGACCTGGCCACTTCTCATGATGTACATGCACTTCTCTTTTACAATTTCTGGAGAAGCCTATGTATCTTTTATGGTTTTGGGATCCGGTGTACCAGTTTCAACACTGTCTTGGTAGTGATGCGATATTCTGCAGAATAAAACATGAACATACTGAAAGTGTGATCACAACCGATGGCAAAACTCTCAGCAAGAAGAAAACTCGACAGAGTCTGACACTGCGTACTTCCTCACTGTATGCTGAGAATTAAGGAAATTCATTTACGGAGTTGCCTGGGGGTCTGTGTAATTGTGTTAGCTACATGTTGATGGCAATGGTAGGAAAGAAACAAATGACTAATTAAAAAGTAATGTGGTCACAAACTGTCTAGACAGTGGTGAAGATGTTTAATTTTGTGCTTCTAAACAACAGCTAACAAGACCTTTTAATATATTTAAAAGATTAAAGATCACTCTAATTGTGATATCCTACATCAGAAAAATGGAAATAAAAAGCCCCCCCCAAAAACCATCCACACCAAAAATAAGAAAGGAAGCTATTGAATCTATGGCAGCTCATTAATCACTGAGAATGGACCTGAGTAATCGTGGAAAGAACAGAAATTGCTCTGGTAGTGATCAAGTATTGTGGAATTTATGAATTATTTTTTCTGGAGTATCATACTTAAAAATTTTGCTTTATTGTATATATTTATAGTTTCTCAAAAAATGTTAGAAAATAAGCCATTGTATTCTTTTTTGAAATTGTGAGACACATTCATTTGAGGATTTATGTTCTGCTGGACTCTACGGAGATGAAATTAGCGTGTAAAGATGGGCGCCTGGTAGCTGGGTTTTTGGTGCTGCAGGTTAAGCCGCTGCTTAATTGGCAGCTTCCCATGTCAGAATGTCAGTGCGAGCCCCCAGGTGCTCTACTTTTGATCCAGCTTCTTGCTAATGTGCCTGGGAAAGCAGTGGAAGTTGGTCCAAATACGTGAGTCCCTGCTACCCATGTAACAGACTGGGAAGGAGTTCCTGGCTCCTGGCCTCTGCTTAGCTCAGCCCTGACTATTGAGGTCTTTTGTGGGAGTGAACCATTTGGTGGAAGATTCTCTCTCTCTCTCTCTCTCTCTCTCTCTGTGTCTGTCTTTTAAAAGAGATTTGCTTCTGTTAGAGCGGTCAGATAGTTAATGATTTGATAGTTAACTATCAGGTCAGATAGTTAATGATTTGAAAGAGAAACCTAACAGTTGTTAAAAACAAAGTAAGTTTGAGAAAAAATTAAAGTGACTGCAAAATGTGCATTGGGGTAATGCTTATTCATTGATCAAAACTTTTGTTTCTGATTCTAATTTTAGCAGAGTTTATGGTGTCACTCATCAAAGTGGCTCTCAGAATCTTTGCAGTTTTCATTTCCAGGTCAATCTGAACCTGCTGGACCCCAAAGCTGAAGACCAAGGGGAGTTTTGATTTTTTTTGTATATTACCAGGAGTTGCTGAAGCGGACCCCACGGAAACACAGTGACTACACCGCAGTGATGGAGGCCCTCCACGCCATGAAAGCTGTCTGTTCCAACATAAACGAGGCCAAGAGACAGATGGAGAAATTGGAGGTTTTAGAGGAATGGCAGTCTCACATTGAAGGCTGGGAGGTAGGCTTACTTTGCTCAACAATCGAGCTTAAAATAGTTTGGTTGGTTCACATCCTTGGAATGAAACTATTGGCAATGGATGGAAGGGGGAAAGTGTCATTTTCCCAGATATTGCTAGAGGACTCTAATCAGTTCTGAAAAGTGTTAGCTTTCATTACAATTGTAATGTATCTTTAAGGTGGCAGTTAATTGACGTAACTTCCTCTAGAGAAGTTTGAGACTGAGTCAGTAGATACTGTGTAGTCTCCTGGATTTGGGGCTGTGCATGATGAGCCATCATTTTTCCTGCCTTGAGCTGGGTCAATAAATACATAGCCTGAATGCTTGAGAGAGCAAAGAAGGGGACAAGTGTTCAATATGTGTTCTGTGGTGTGCTTTTCAGATTCTAAATTAGATACTTGGTGTTGAATTTCAAGTCTACTTAATATCTCTGGGTTTTGGTTTCATTGTTTCTAAAATGAAGGAACTGGAACTGGCTGTGATCTGGTTTTGGGGGTCCATTGAAGATGAAAAACGTTATGGTTTCAGCAGTCATTAGGGAAAGATTTATAAAAATGACAAAAAAGTGCGAATGTGTGTGCTCAGAATCTGTGTTTCAGCTATGGTAACTTTAAATCCAGATTTCTCATGTGGCTGAAGTCCTATATAACTTTACTACTATTTAAAGAAAAAAATAAGATTGTCTTTAAATTGCATTAATTTAAAATAATATGAGCTTTGTGGTCTAGGATAATTTAATTCTTGTTACAAAATAACCATTTAAGGTGATTTTTTTTTGTTTGTAAAGAAGATTTAAAATGTTCCCAAATACTATATCACATAAATGCAAGCGTGTGGCTTTTATCCTTGGGGCTTTATAGTTGACTAATTTGTTTCTTATCTTCAATATGTTAGTTTTCATTTAGACCTGAAGTTCTGTCTGTCCAGATATGCAAAGAAACCTCAAATGTTGACCCTAGGAAATTCTGTTTGTCTACCCTGGACTGTGGATCTTTTAAAATGCTGACTGGGGTCTGGCTTAGCCTTCCCTTTGTATTCTTCTTTTGCAAGTGTCCAGGGTGACCTCCTCTTTCAGCATGAATGCTATCTCTTTCAATCACTCAGAATGGTTGTGTGTTTTACAGTTGATTCATGATGATGATTCCTTTCCTAGGGAGCAGTTGTCCTGCTGGGATGAGAAAAATGGAGTCAACTTCGCTTTTGCAGCTTTGTTGTCCTTCAGACATTTAAAGAAACAGTGAACTTGCTTTAAATATCAGGATTTATCAATAAAATCTGCCAGGCTTTTTATTAAAAAAAAAAAAACTTCAGAAACTATTTTTCATGCTCCAGGGAAATGGAATCTGTCATGATTTTTTTTTTCCTTCTGGTGTATATCCTAACAATTGAGTGGACTGCAGAAATGAAAGATTTCTTAAAAATTATAGGTTTGGTTTGCATTGTATGTACAAGGTGTTCACAAGGAGATGTATGTGGATCATACTATTGCATAGCCCCTCAATTTGTGGGTACTTCGACTGTCCTGGTCTTAGGGATCTACAACACTCTGAGTGCAAGAGGGAAATGGAGCATTAAGGCAGAAGGTGGGTCTAGGTAATTCTGTTGAGTATTTGGGAAAACCAGATAGAACTTCAGCTTTAGCCAGCACAGTGGAAATGGTGCAAATGTCAGGTTCCATGGAAGGTGGCAACATGAATTCCACTTACGTGAATTTGACAATGAGTATGTGAGACAAAGCCATATAGTGTTGGGAGTTCAGACTTTGAAGGGTACAGGGGTCAGCCAGCTGATGGCAGCTTGTGATCAGAGCCCGAATACCCATCCAGTCCACCTTCCTGGAGAGAGTGGAGGCATCTGTTGGTCCCATATGGGCAGTTTAGGAGAAACTGCTGAACTGATAGGACACCTAAGGACAGACTCATACAGGATGAATTCAGACCCTGGGAAGGAGCGGGAATGGATAAAAGTGGGATTGTTCAGGGGGTGGAAGGACCGTTGCTCAGCTTGCTGGCAGCTTTGTGTGGAGGTGATAGGAGACTGGAGTTAGAGCAGGGCCAAGGTCAGAGGCAGGTGTCATGACCATTACAGAAGAGAGCACCTTGAGAGTTTGCAGGGTTGGGCTGATGCTGGAAAAGCGCTCCCTCTCTAGTTCTTCTGTAGGCTCCTGCAGACCCTCGGGACCACCAAATGGATGACACTTTGGCTTCAGAAACTAAAATTCTCTTGAGTGGGATTCCCCATGGATTTGTACTACTTCCATTTTAGGAGGATTCTTCTCTCACTTAAGCCACTTCATTATCTGGGTCTTATTTCCCCATGAATAAAATGAGGGCATTTTTTTGCAATAAATTCTCTCAGGTAAATTGTCTGTCAAGAATTTTGTGCTACTAAGTTGTCACTTACATTCCAGTATGCTAATTTTAACTAAACAAGCAATTGAAATTTAGTATTGGCTGGCGCCGCAGCTCACTAGGCTAATCCTCTGCCTGTGGCGCCGGCACCCCGGGTTCTAGTCCCGGTCGGGGCACCAGATTCTGTCCCGGTTGCCCCTCTTCCTGTCCAGCTCTCTGCTATGGCCCGGGAGTGCAGTGGAGGATGGCCCAAGTGCTTGGGCCCTGCACCCGCATGGGAGACCAGGAGAAGCACCTGGCTCCTGGCTTCGGATCAGTGCGGCCACTGGTGGGGGGTGAACCAACGGAAAAGGAAGACCTGATCAGCAGAGAAACTCCCAAATTCAGCTGCCAGCTAATGTGCACAGTGGGAGGCAGAGGTGATGGCCCAGTAGTTGGATCCCTGACTCCCAGGTAGGGGACCCTGATTTGGCCTGGCCCAACCCCAGCTGCTGCACACCAGTGGATTGCACATCTTTGTTGTCTGCCTCTCTCTCAGTTTCTCTGCCTTTTAAGCAAGTATTTTTTTTTTAAAAAGAGGTTTATATAGCTCAAAATTAAAGAGGTTCAAACACATGGCTCTGGCATCTGTTTGGTTCAGGTGAGGACCCCCTGGTGGATGGCATAAGAGCATGTGAGGAAGATACAGTTAGTATGTGTGGAAGGATTTGGGGGAGGTACTAAGCTCCTTTATAACTCCTCTTCCCTGAAACCAGTCAGTCACAGGAGACTTGCATTAGCTCATTCCTAGTGTAGTGTCCCCAAGACCTACTTACCTTCTTCCAGCCTTGGCCTCTTAGAAGTTTTGTCACTTCAATGAGCTGCACCTGGGACCCAGCCTTGAGCACACAAACTTCAGTGGGGCAAACCATGTCTAAACCAAGGCAGTAAGCCTCAAAAGTTTGCTCAGCTGTTATAATCCTCATTATGCAGACTTTAAAATGAAGACCATTTAACTTATCCAGATTCTTAGAACCAAGAGGTGATGAAGTTTAGAGCTGAAAATAGGCAATCTGATTCTAAAGCTTATATTCCTTATCAAGTGACATTGTGTCTACTCAGAGCAAAACAATGAATTCTTTGGATTAAGTTTGCTTTCCTGCTTGCCTTTTAATGTCTGCATAAGTCAATTTGGGGTAATTACTTAGAATATTTATTTAGTGTGCAAAATAGGACACTATCTGGCCGGCGCCGTGGCTCACTTGGCTAATCCTCTGTCTGCAGCGCCAGCATCTCATATGGGTGCCAGGTTCTAATCCTGGTTGCTCCTCTTCCAGTCCAGCTCTCTGCTGCGGCCCAGGAGGGCAGTGGAGGATGGCCCAAGTGCTTGGGTCCCTGCACCTGCATGGGAGACCAGGAGGAAGCACCTGGCTCCTAGCTTCAGATTGGCGCAGTGCCGGCCGTGGCGGCCATTAGGGGAGTGAACCAATGGAAGGGAGACCTTTCTCTCTGTCTCTCTCACTGTCTATATCCGTCTCTCTCACTGTCTAACTCTACCTGGCAAAAAAAAAAAAAAAAAAAAAAAAAAAGGACAATATCTGCAGTATACTTTTTAATGTATCAGCTTGTCATTCTGGCTGGCTTACATGAATAACTGTAAGTTCAAGGAGGGTATTCTCTTTATTTTGTAAAACTAAAGCCATGTTCCTTAATTTTATATACTTGCTCATGTAAGGAAGGAAGGTTAAAATAATCTTTGTCTCTTTATTTCTTTTCTTTTCCATCCTAGAGGTGAATACATAAATTAGTATCTGTTGAAAATTAGACAATATCATATACTTTGTAATATGCCCATGGAGACCTTTTCCCATATTAGGAGAAAAAAAGAAAGGAAATAAACATTAACAAGATTATAAATTAGTTTGAAATAATTTGCTCTAAAAATAACCTAATATGTGCTGTGTATGCATATACACATAAAATATTCTTTGAGGATCCCCATGGCAGTTCTGTCTGCTGAGGCCAACCGGGAGGAACTGGAAGAGGAATAAGACCTATACTCAGTGTGTAACTCTTTGTACTGTTGGGGCTTTATCCTCTGCATATATGGCTTTTAAAGATAAAAGTAACTGTAATTATAAGGAGAAAACTAACAAGATACAAACTTTAGTCAGGTAATCACACGTTGTTATTTGTGTTTTCCCTGGTTTAGGGGTCCAACATCACTGACACCTGCACTGAAATGCTAATGTGTGGAGTCTTACTGAAAATTTCTTCTGGAAATATTCAAGAACGGGTGTTTTTTCTTTTTGATAATCTTTTGGTGTACTGCAAAAGAAAGCACAGGTAAGATCCAAAAAACAAGGCACACTTCAGAAATGGCTCAGGTGTCACACAAGATCCAACTTTTCATCTGCTTCCCAGGGCTCAGGGACTCATCAGGCGGCAGCTTCAGCTCCTCCCAGCCGGTTCTCTGATTGCTCCTTTCACCATCTTGTTAGATGTAGTTGAAAGCCATTAGCAGAGAACTCAGTTCAGGTCTACCACGTGGTGGTAGGAGCCCAACTGTACTTGCTTCCTTGTAGGGCCCACCTTAGTAGGAACCTGGAATCAGCAGTGGAGCTGGAACTTGGGACTCCAACCCAGGCACTCCAATAAGGTATATGGATGTCCCAACCAGCTTCTTATCCACCGCACCAGATGCTGACTCTGCAAAACGCAACTTTATCCAAGACAGATTAGTTTTAGTGAAATGATGCCAATAAGTTTCATTCAATTTAAAGGAGAAAAGTGAGGCTGAAGGTGTGAGATTTCAAGCGATTGTATATTCCCAGTTCAGAAGTTATGGGATTGTAACAATTGTACCACATTAACATTTCAGATGATGTAATGAGGCCATGAAGGTGCAGAACATATGCAGAGATGGATTTTAGTTGCTTATTTCTTCTGAGACAGAATCTGCATGCTGTCTCAACTTTTCTCTGTTTTTTTTTTTTTTTTTTTCCTTAGTCATTTCCATCAGAGAATGTTTCAAGTCTTTTGGAAGAAATCTGCTTACTTTATATTGTGTGAATGGAACTATGATGCTGACAGATTTCAGCAGAGCCAATTAATGTCTGTTTGCCAAGTACTCCCTACACTTGGACCTGGATAGGTTGAATGAGGGGTGGATAAACATTAAACATTTTCTGGAACCAAGAAATGAGAATGAGACAAAACTGACAAATTTAGAAGGCAGGATAAAAGGATTACCATTCTTTATATCTTGAATTTTTTTTTTTCCTAATCAGTTAGCAATGTGCCCAGACCAAGTTACTGAAGATTTGGTAGCCATGCTCCTGGTATTCAATAATGATGTCATGTGGATTGTCATATTGGGATAATATAGTAAGATATATTAATTCAAAAATATAGTGATTTGAACTGAAAAAATGTAGTGCTTTAACTTGTACATTTGTGAAAGGAGACAGGTTAGGATTAGAGCCAAAATATAATTCAGTTGTTGTTGTCTTTATCTTAATGAGTTTTTTAAAAAAATCTTTTTTACCACATGTGAAAATTAGCTTATTTATTTTACAATGAGCTTCTAAATTCTTTGTGTTTGATAGTAAGATTGGGATGAATAGAAATAGACTCTAGGAAGATATTGAAGAGATTGTCAAATTTACTTGTGTGCATCTCATTTAAGAAATTGTAATGTGAAGCCAGGTGCTTTGCTGTAATTAATGAAGACATCTGTTTGAGAATGAGATCCTTTTTCAGCTCTTTCAATCTTAACAATATATATATATATGCCTGTTCTTTATCCTGAGCTTTTGCAAAATTAACATCAGTGTACAATTGATGATGTGATAGGGTTTCATGGCTATAATGTTAAATAAGTTAAACAACAGATAAAACTTCAGAGAATTAAAATCCTGTTAGTTAGCAAATATCCTTAATGAATGTGTAAACATGGACCAAAAACGTAATGGTTAGAAATGGAAAGAAGTAGTAGATCAGTGTGTCTCTTTTCCCTCCAGGGTTGGGGAAGTTCTGTAAGAAGCTGTCTTTCCCTTCTTAAGAATGCTCATCTACTTTATGAACTTAACTTCAAAGTAAGATTTTTAAGATTTACAGTTCCTTTAGAAATCATGAATAAACAACCTTTACAGACTTCAATAGTGTTGTGATTACAAGAACCACAGACCTGATAAATTTATTTAAAAAAATTATTTATTTATTTGAAAGGCAGAGAGACAGAGAGACATAGATCTCCCATTTGCTGCGTTTGCTTTGCAAATGCTATTACGGTCAGGGCTGGGCCAGGCTGAAGCCAGGAACTCACATGGAACCTGAGTCTCTCACATGGGTGACTGGGACTCTGCTACTTAAACCACCACCTGCTGCTTCCTAGGGTGCACACTAGCAAGAAGCTGGAATGGAGAGTGGAGCCAGGATTTGAACTCAGGCACTCTGATATGGGATGGAGGTATCCCAAGTGGCAACCTAACTGCTGAGCCAAAAGCTCACCCCTATACATTCTTTAAAGGGCAAAGTGCTAGATTTGGCATTCTAGTTCTGAATCTTTATAGTATTATTAATCTTAGAAGAAGCTAGTTTATTAAAAATAGTTTATTATGTACTGTAAGGAGACATTGTTTAAGTTGGCTTGTTTATAGGCTTAATAAGATAATAATACAATACATTTAGTTTTTTTGCAGTTTATATTTTGTATTCAGTGGTTTCTAAAATATATATCCATTTTATAGCAATAATTCATTTTAATTCATGCATAATACTCCATTAGTTAAATATATTACACTTTAAATTAGTTAAATATATTACACTTTAATTCTTCATTCTCCTATCAATTGACTTTTGGATTATTTCCATATTTTTCTACTATTATGAATGTTCTTGTACATGTTTCCTGGTCATAATAAAATGAAAAATTAGGAAATTAGGAGAGAAGTCATTAAATCATGATATTCAAATATGCAGCATTGCAGTATGGAGCAACCAGTGCCTTCAATCTTTACAGTTTAACAAATATGTTTTCTTAAGGGATCAAAGAACTTTATTTAAGCTAAGTGCTATAGTATTGATCAGATGCTTGCTAGAGTTTTAGGCTGAATATTAACATCCACAGGTCAGGTGAAAATACAAAGCTTGTACAAAGTTCACAGCAGGATCATAAAGACAGTGAGTCTCAGATAAACTGGACCAATGATGGATTCATACATATATAAGACTAGCATTATACATAATGTTTTACATAGAGACAAATTAATTCTTATATATCAATTAGCATAGTTTTCTTTATTAGTGGTGAAAGATTACTAAATTTTGATGTGGGTTTAGAACAGATAACCTAGGAATCTGACATCTTTTCCAAGGAAAGAGCCCAGGGTATATGCTAGTATTTTTGAGACCCCCTTCTTTATCCATCATGTCCACCCCAGGGCAGGTATTTATACGTATTTGATGCCTGCATCCCGTATCAGAGCATTTGGGTTCACATCCAGCTTCCACTCCTGGTTCCAGCCTCCCGTCAGTTGTTACCTGGGAGGCAGCAGCTGAAGGTCAAAATAGTTAGGATCCTGCTACCCACACGGGAAACCAGGATTGTTTGCTTGACTTCTAGCTTCAGCCTGTCCAGCCTTGACTGTAGTGGGAATTTTGAAAATGAATCAGTGAATGGCAGCTCTGTCCATCTCTTTCTAGATCTCAAATAAAATAAAATGTAAAAAATTTTAAAAAGATTGATTTGAACAGTGATGAACCGATTTACAAGAAATTTTTTTCTTGCAAGGTACCATGATATTATTTCCTACCTGGTGGAATATGCAGTTACTTACATTTTAACTGACTCTACATGTTTCTTTATTTTTGACATCAGTTTTATAGCTACCTTTCCCAATTGATAATCTGTAGCATTTACTCAGGGATATTAATGAAGGACATTTAGAAGCTGTTATCAAAGTAACCATGAGGATGGTAGGGTGTTGAAGTTTGTGGGCTGACTTTCCAGCGAGATAAATTAATAAAGTTAGTTTTCTTTATTTTTTAACTTTTATTTAATAAATATAAATTTCAAAAGTACAACTTTTGGATTATAGCAGCTCCCCCCCCATAACCTCCCTCTCACCCGCCACCATCCCATCTCCCACTCCCTCTCCCATCCCATTCTTCATCAAGATTCATTTTCAATTATCTATATATACAGAAGATCAATTTAGTATATAGTAAGTAAAGATTTCAACAGTTTGCACCCACACAGACACACAAAGTATAAAGTACTGTTTGAGTACTAGTTATACCATTAATTCACATTGAACAACACATTAAGGACAGGGATCCTACATGGGGAGTAAGTGCACAGTGACTCCCATTGTTAATTTAACAATTGACACTTCTTTATGATGTCAGTAATCACCCAAGGGTCTTGTCAGGAGCTGCAAAGGCTATGGAAGCCTCTTGAGTTCACAAACTCCGACCTTATTTAGACAAGGCCATAATCAAAGTGGAAGTTCTCTCCTTCCTTCAGAGAAAGCTACCTCCTTCTTTGATGGCCCGTTCTTTCCACTGGGATCTCACTCACAGAGATCTTTCATTTAGGTTATTTTTTGCCACAGTGTCTTGGCTTTCCATGCCTGAGAAACTCTCATGGACTTTTTAGCTGGATCTGAATGCTTTAAGGACTGATTCTGAGGCCAGAGTGCTGTTTAGGGCATCTGCCACTCTATGAGTCTGCTATGTATCTCGCTTCCCATGATGGATCGTTCTCTTTCTTTTTGATTCTATCAGTTAGTATTAGCAGACACTAGTCTTGTTTATGTGATCCCTTTGACACTTAATCCTATCATTATGATCAATTATGAACTTAAACTGATCACTTTGACTAGTGAGATGGCATTGGTACATGCCACCTTGATGAGATTGAATTGGAATCCCCTGGCACGTTTCTAACTCTGCCGTTAGGGTTAAGTCCGATTGAGCATATGCTGAACTGTACATCCCCTCCCTCTCTTATTCCCACTCTTATATTTAATAGGGATCACTTTTTGGTTAAATTTAAACACCTAAGAATAATTGTGTGTTAATTAAAGAGTTCAACCAATGGTATTAAGTAGATTAGTTTTCTTTAGAGGTGATGAAAGATGGTTTTGATGTGCTTTTAGGACAGATAGTCCAGAAATTTGTGATCTTTTCGGAGGAAGGCTGTGTGATAGCGTTGTTGAGACCTCTCCTTTTCCCATGTGATTTTCCCTGTGTGGAGCAGAGGAGAAGTGGGGCCCTGCAGTTGGTGTACAATCACATCCTAACCTGCACCAGGCATGTCTCTACGGCGCAGTAAACTAATAGTGATTTCAGTATATTAAATTGTTAGCCAGACGTCAGTGAGTGAAATTGGATAGCTCAGGTCAACTGAAATCCCTTGAGCGACTTTTAATTCTCTTTGAATACTTTATTAGAATCTGTCTTGCTTAACTAAAGATATTAAAATTTCTCCCCTGAGTATTTGGTAATTCAAATTAATCCTTAATTCATTGTCATGAATGTTCATCTGTAAACCTTGATTTTTTTTTTTTTTTTTGCTTTGACTTACATGCTTAAGATGAAAGACTGTTGCTAGACATACTGTGTAGAAAGTTTGGAATATTGTGGAATTGTTTTTAAAATGAATGAGACCTTTATGAAGGATTGTGTTCATATTAAGAAACTTGTGCAGCATGAATACAGGGATCTTGCAAGCAAAATAGGAAACAGATGTTTGCAGCTGGATGTTGCCCAGCTCCAGAAGCCCCAGCTCAGTCATTTTCTTTGAAGAGTGACCAGAAGTAGTAACTGAATATTTTACCAGGGCTTGGAGAAAGTGAGAATTAGCAGCTAGTTACTGAAAAATGGGAAATAAAGCTGAAAGAAACTCTACTGAAACATTAAAATAACCAGTCTTTACTTTCAGAGTTGATTGGGCACTGCTGATGTCCTAGGTGGGCGAAAACTACAGATTTACCCTCCTACCTGTGATTACCCTGAACCCCAAGCTTCAGTTTGTTTCACATTCTAGTATACTGGCCACATCTCCTATATCAACCAGTGCTGTTGTGAGTGGGAGGAGACTAGTAAAAAAAAATTTTAAAGCACCAGAATCAAAAACCTTTGATGTTATAGACTGAACTGGTGTCTTTTCTCCAAAGATTTGCTTAAAATCAGTCGCTTAAACATTGTTTTGCATTAAGTTTGATAACAGAGTCTTTGTGGTTTCATTCATTTTTAAGACGGTTGAAGAACAACAAGGCTTCCACAGATGGACACCGCTACCTTTTTCGTGGCCGGATCAATACAGAGGTGATGGAGGTGGAAAATGTGGATGATGGCACAGGTGAGCGATGAGGGCATTTAAAATGGAACATCAGGAGTGGGCATGGTGGTGCAGCATTGTGTCCCATTGTCAGAGAGCTAGTTCCAGTGCTGGCTCCATCACTTCCCATCCAGTTTCCTGCTTATGCTTCCAGGGAGGTAGCAGATGCTTGCTAAAGTTCTTGGGTCCCTGTCATGCATGTGGGAGAACCAGATGGAGTTCTAGTTCCTGCCTTCAGCTTGGCCAAGCCCAGGCTTTTTAGGGCATTTAGGGGAACGAACCAGTAAATGGTTTCTCTCTGTGTGTGTTTCTGTACCTTTACGTAGATAAAATAAATAAGTAAACATTTTAAAAAATGGAGTGGCAATAGTAACTCCTCATCCAGGAGAAATGTCACTTGATTCACTTACCTCAGTGCATTAGAGCTTAGAAATATTTTGTTAGGTAAAACAGTGCAATCAGGGCAGGAAAAAGCTGAGATAAAAGAATGTAGGACTGTTGTAAAATTGGAAAGTTATATTTGGCTGAAACATAGAAAGCATTATATTTAGCGTTAAACACAGAAAGAGAAGTAGCTGAGACTGTCCATGTTAATTTAACTATAAAATAATCACCATTTCTTACATAGAGTATGTATGCAAGAGATACATGACTGAATTGATTTTCTTTAAATTTTACTATGTTTTGTAAGTGTATGTGTGATATTTTCCTTCTGTAATATAGTCTCTGTAAAGTATAACAAATTCTAGATCTGTTTTAGATATGCAACAGTTACTAATATGTGTCTTCAATTACCATGTAGAGAATTGTAGGTAAAGGTAGTTTGTGTAATTTTGAATGCTCATTTTAAACACTATGTTACTGAAAGAGAATACATTTTTACTCTGTAGATTTAAAGGGACAGACTTGTATAAGCAAGTTCATTAAATAATGATTAGTCATAAACATTATGTAAAATGAAATGTAAAAATTTTATTTTCTATTTGAAAAAATAAAGTCTGTAGAATGAATGCTTAGTAAATTGAATCACATTTCCCATAAATGGCTTTATTGAGTCTCAAAAATTTGCTCCCAGGGAAAAAGATAAGATGAAATGAAATATTTTAATTGCTGCTTAATGACTTCCCTTTCCATATAGAGAAATGTTTTTCTAGTTTTAATTATAAACATGAGATGGGGACACATCAGAATCAGCTCCCTACCACCCACATAGCTTCCAGGTCCTTCCAGGGTCCCAGAAAGGGAGAAGAATGTTGATACTCTGTCAGGGGCACAGATTTTCAAATGCCATTTCTCCATCCCGTTGTTAACAACCTGACAAACTGTTAAGTACTTGAAGGAGTGAACCACAGTTGTTATAGGTAAGGGGGGAAACCAGGTAAAAAGCAAAATTCAGGAAGTGTCTAAGACTAGGCACTCATGCTGGGAGCCATGTCATTCACAAGGAGAAGTTCTTCAGTGGCTAACGATGGAATGCAAGAGTGGAGCTGGCAGACAATATTCCATTTAAAATCCCTTTTTAGGCCGCAATCTCTAATACAGTTGCAGACAGCCCCTTGCTAATAAGTGGACCTAGCAGGCTATCTTTCCGTCTCAGTGTATACATAGTATTTTTTTATACGATTTCAGTAATTCATCCTATTCTTTTTAAGCAAACTCTGTAGTGACATTTAGAAATATTATCTGTCTAAATGTTAAGAGTTCCTTGCCTCAGCACCCTGAATTTCCAAAGGACACCTAAAAATCCACTTTGTCCTTGAGTTTTGAGCAGGTGAGATAATAAAAGACACACATACAAAACCTCCACTCTGTTCCTTATTGGCCCTGCCTGCTCCTAAGAAAACTACTGCTCCCCCATTGCTTTGGCACTTTGTATATTTTCTTCCCTTTCTATGCTTTTCCATGGGGACAGAGCTCCTGTGAGTCAACCCCTACTGTGTCCCCACCTCCTCCCTCCCCCAGAGATGTGATTGCCAGCATTGCTACCACCTGCACTTGTAGTCTAAGCGAATTTTGATAATGATGACTATAATTACTGTACCTATAGGGAACTGGGGCACTAAATAAAGAACAGTAGGAGCCCAGAACTTTGGAGGCAAGGACATACAATGCAGTCTTCATTGCATCTGTGACAAATGCTAAGGGAGTGAGAGCCTTTGAGGGGTGATGTGAATGGAGCTTTTACATAAATGGGCTTTGGTTTCAATCCCATGAAAAGGTTCTGTTGGTGCTGGTATTATTCCAGCCTTCAGGGCCCTCAGTTCCTGGGGGTATGTGCATTGTACAAAACAGGGCATAAGACCTAAGTGGGTATGAGTTAAGGGAAAGACGGGACATTGCAGTGTATTTAGTTGGCATAAGTTAGTTGCTTGATGGAGTCTAGATATGAATTTGCAAGACAGCTTTCATTGCAACAAGATGAAGAAATTATTGGACTGTGTTATTCAGTTAAGTGTGTTTCTTTTTTCTTGAGCGCACATAAGCAGTACATTGCAGGAATTTGGCTGGGAATAGTTGCTACAAGATAACTTGGAGAAAGGAAAATGTAGTTTTCTCATGGATGTATTCGTTTAGCCCTGGGGTAAAGTGTACACCCTCTGCCAGGCTTGGAGATTCAAAAATGTAATTTTTGAAGGTGGATAGAGTCTTGAAGATTAATTAATGTACCACATTAACATTTCAGATGATGTAATGAGGCCACTGAAGGTGCAGAACGTATGCAGAGATGGATTTTAGTTGCTTATTTCTTCTGAGACAGAATCTGCATGCTCAACTTTCTGATTTTTTTCATAAGTCATTTCCATCTTTTGGAAGAAATCTGCTTACTTCATATTGTGTGAATGGAACTGTGATGCTGACAGATTTCAGCAGAGCCAATTAATGTCTGTTTGCCAAGTACTCCCTACGCTTGGACCCGGATAGGTTGAATGAGGGGTGGATAAACACTGTCACTGTCAGGCTCACTTACTATTGCCAAAACCAAAACAAAACAACTATACCAGATTTAGGTAGGAATTGAGATATATATTTTATGGATGAAAAAATGGATAAAAAAGTTTTCCTTCCATTTGAGTTGTAGAAATGCTAATATTATCATTATTAGACAACCAATTGCATTTATTAACCTCAAAAACTGCAGAGGAAATAACTGCATTTAGAATAAGACTAAATATACTTTTGACTAAGATGTAAATATCTCAATTTTTTAAGGAAAATATATGACTTTTATTTATAATGCTTAATGACTTGACTTACATCATAGTTGTATATTAGTATGGAAAATTTAATTAAGCAATGAAACAACATGGAGAATTGAAAAAAGTTGTATATTTATTTAAATCTAAACATATTATCTATACTCTGGTTTCTCTTCAGATCATATAAATCTTTCACCTTTTACTAAACATATTATCCATTATTTTCCATGCTCAAGGAAGATGTTGATCATTGAACTTATGACCAGTTTCCATGTGATCATTTTCTAGATTTCTACTCTTTCAGTGACTCTAACTTGATTCTTTTTTGAAGATTCATTCTAGAGGTTTTAGTTTGATCATGATGCTCTAAGAAAAACAATCCAGCTTAAGAACAATAGTAGGAAAGCTGTTGAACTTCCTAAAATTTTCATGGTGATTTTCCTGACACATTCTTGGAAAGCCATTCAAAATTAGCACTCTGTCATTAATATTCTTTCTTTAGAACTAGTTCATTGTGTGGTGAGAAAGGGCAAGAATGTTGACCTTTAGAAAATATGGTCTCTAGTTCAATGCCACACAAACCATAGATTTCAGTACAATAGACACATTGCAATTGGACAGATGGAAAAATTTCTGTTGTCATTTGTATTTATTTATTTTATATGTTTATTTAGTTTCAGCAACTTGGAAGGCAGAGCAAGAGAGAGAGAGAGAGAGAGGGAGGGAGGGAGAGAGAAAGAGGCTGACAGACAGATGGGGAGAGATCCTCCATCTGCTGGTTCACTCCCCAAGTGCACAGAAAAGCCTAGGCTGGGCAGATGGAAGCCTGGAGCCCAGAATGCTATCCAGGTTTTCCATGTCAGTGGCAGGGGTCTAAGAACTTTAGCCATCAGCTGCCTCTTCAGGGTGTGTGTGCATTAGCAGCAAGCTAGACTAGAAGCAGAAATAGTACTCAAATCCGGACACTATGATATGAGCTGCTGGCATCCCAAGTGACTTAACCTGCTAAAATACAAAAGCTGCCCCCAAGCTGTCATTTTTAATATCAATATTTGATACCATGTTAAGTATGAGTAAATTGTTTTAGTAAAATTAATTTTTTTATAAATGAGACTTTAAAAATATTTCCATCAATTTTCCTTTTTATGCATGGATGAAAACAATGCTTAAAACATGAACTCTGTAATCTTGTATTTTTTTAATTTAAATAAAAATATTATCTTAATAATAGCCATGTTTTATCAGCAGTTAAACATAGTTTTAAATTATTCCATAATAGTCAATACAATAAAGCAGCTATAATTATCTTAACAACTATAGTATGATTGTATAAAATGGATTGAATACATCCATAATTAAAAAGTAATAATAATTTTTCAGTGTTGAAAAAGAGTAAAGCATATAAGAGTTCTCTTTGGATATACTTAAATTTTGAATATGTTGTTAATTTAATTAAGCATTTAAAATTATTGATTTATTAGAAAGGTAGAGTGACAGAGAGAGGGGGAGAGGCAGAGAGAAAAAGAGATCTTCCATTTGGTGGTTTACTTCCCAGCTGGCCACAACAACTGTGGCCGGACCAGACTCCATCCAGGTCTCCCATATGAGTGGCAGGGTTACAAGCACTTGAACCATCTTCTGCTGTTTTCCCAGATACATTAGTATGGAGCTGGAATGGAGGCAGAGCAGCTAGGGCTTGAACTAATGCTGTGATAAGGGGTGCTAGTGACGCAGGCAGTGGCTTAACCTGCTGTGCCTCAGTTCCATCCCCTATAGGAATGTATTTGAGAATTCGAAAAGGTTAGGAAATAAACTGCCTTTTTA